GATTGTCTGGTCCAGACCGCCATCATCTAGCTGGAATATTGCTGAATACGGCGTTAAACAACAAACAAACAAAAGAAAATGTTTGAATGAAGTCAAGATAAGGTGCTTGGGTATTTTGAGTATTAATATTTGATTTCCTGCAGTATTATAGATCCGGTCATTTAATATAGGGGGGTGGGAGGGGGGTGGGTCAGAGGGAAACAGGGGAGAGTCACCAAAGAGCATGACAGGTTCTAGGGGAGGGTAATAAAAAATAATACACATATTTAGGGAGGGCCATGAAAAAATAAACTTTTCATAATAAAATATGAAATGCTTTTGTATTTTGTTTTTTGGGGGAGGGTGATGTAAAAAATGTAAAACGACATGGGAAGAGTCATCCAAAAATAATACAAGCATTATGGTAGGATACTGGTAATTATTTTCAGAACTTTAGGGTATGAAAACCCTCTGCCCCCCTTGTAATAAATGACCGGTCCCTAATGTGTATGTAAACATGACGTGCTATCTTGTCTATGAAAGAAACCCAACCAACTCTTTTGAAAGTTATTTTAAAGGATATTACACTTGTTAGATATGCAATTAATGAATGATGTACATTTCACTTTAATGGCATCTTATCATCTGTTTGAACCTGGTCCCTATCATGCCGACTTTCAGTGTTGGGTAAACACTGCGCGATATTACAAGTTCTGTCACATATCTGCTCACAGAATCTCCCTTTCAGAACTGTGTACTTTTGATAAGAAAGGACATTTTCTTAACTTCTTTACGTGAATATATGCTACTGATGTTTATCTAATGATAAGTACACCATAAATTTGTCAAGATTATATGTTTACCTTTGATGGGTTCATTGCAAGTGATTTGTAAGTTAATGGTTAAACCTTTGATGTAAGCTGTTTATACATTAAGGCTAGCTTATGTCATGATCTAACAAAGTGTTATGAGTTATTATTTAGCAAGAGCCTGCAGTTGTAAATTTCTTCTTGACGTCTTAAGTGCGTGTGGTAGATTTCAAAGCTTTCGTTTTGAAGGTGTGATTTCATTTGATAAATATTTGGGTGGATTTTCCTTCTAGAGGCTTTTAATCAGGCAGAAAATGTTCCTAGCAGATTTGAAGAGGTTTGAGTGAGTAGTGAACTAACGACAGAGAGAGTCTATGAATGAGAGTAACAGAAGTTTATCAGAAAGAGAAACTGTTTCTGGTGCGTTATGAGATACGTGATTATTGTGGTTTTCTTGAAGTTGGTATGCAATTGAATAAGTTTCAGTTTGGTTTATGTCAGATTCAGTCTCATTAAAATCAGATTGTAGTGTTTGCTACTGCTACACAAAGCTGTGATCTGATTTTAGGGAGATTGGGTCAAATCTTGCAATTTCTGCATCCACAAATATATATGTGTTTACGAAATGTGTTGAAACGGAAAGATGATTTTTTGTGAAGAAAGATCATTCATTACTGAGTGATTATGATGCTTCATACAATGTATTCATAACAAAATATAACTTTGTATGCAATTTTATAAATATTTTTAGTTGTCGTATAGCAAATCCTCATGAAATCTCTAAAACTCTTTAGGGTTAGTCACAATATGGCTACATATGTGTACATGTATTGTTTCTCAGGATCAAGAACATTTGATAATTTTGCTACTGCTCGAGAAGAAACTTAATTATTAGTCAACTCTTCTTGATGTTCGAAATTATTACTTAAACTGTGAAATATCTAAATATTACTGTATCAGCTCAGAATGAATAACTTATCTGGCCAGTTACACGTACAGTAACTACGTTTAAAATGAACACGCTTATAACGAACTGACGATATAACAAACTGTTTTATTAGTCCGTCCATTTGCTGTATATATAATATATATATGCTTATAACAAACTATAGTTATAATGAACTAAAATTAGGGGGCCCCTTCATTCGTTATATCATAGTTTAATGTACAGATTAATAAAAATCATAATTTATAAATGAAGTATACAGGTTTCGGTTCAAACCAACAATACATTTAGCGTGAGTGCAGAGTGACACATGGCCTGTCTGGAAATATGCTTTGGGGACGGGTATGGTTGCTCATGTAGCCTGTTATTTATCTGCGGTTACAACCATAACATGGTCCCCCATATCAGCCGCTTATCAGCGGAGACACAAGTACATGACGGCCGACTAGGGGTTAAGAAGTTGAAGAATTTCGTCGCTGATAATGCCTTTATTCTCTTGAAATGGACATGCTATCTACGACAGGAGGAGGTCATATCTCACAGGGGTCAGACAAGGGGTGTCAAAAGCACAAGAGATTTATTCGGGGATCATTAGTTCGTAGCCATATTTTAAAATTTGAGAACATGGGGAAAGGTTTGGAATTTAAATTTAAGTGATGAATATGGTATTTTATTTTAAGGAGGGGAGTATTTTAGTTTCATTGTTCCCCAGTTGAATAAAAATTGATTGTATTTACTCAAAAGTGTCATTTACAATGATAATGGTAGAGAAGATAAATGAGATTTTAATAACAGAGTTCCCAGTTTGACAGATGAAACTAGTTGCTTTGTGAAAACATGAACGCTGATTTGGCAATGTTTTTTACTGTTTTGTTTCAAATAGACCTCGGGTTTGAATTTGAGTTGCTTATTTGGTCTGAAAGAAAAGAAGCTGAAGAACCAGATGGAAACCTTGAATAAAGGAGCAGAGGCATAGTTCTCATTCATTCAAAGAGATGTGACTCAAGTTCTTTTTTGTGATTTATTTTGTAATCATAATTTTTACCAAAGCAGGTTGGGTAATAATTAAAGTAGCAGTAATATTTTTTGTTAATCTTTTTGTTTGGGTCTGCAGTAAATGTGGTATACAATAAGGCTCTTACCAGTATGCCTTCTTTCACCCCAAGAGTGAGGGTTTAGCAATATTCCAGCAATATTCCAGCAATATCACAGCAATAATACTGCGGAGGACACCAGAAATGGGCTCTACACATTGTACCCATGTTGGGAATCAAACCATGATGAGCGAACACTTAAACTACTACAAAGTACTAGGCTACCCGACTGCCCCCTAAGCCCCAAGAAAGGTGCACATATTCACAGGTGTGTATTTCACATGAGAGAAGTTATGAGCTAATGAAGCCATGACATGAAAAAAACAAACATAGCTAACAGGGAATTGTTATACTAGGCATGTACAGTATGCTAATTATCATCATGTCGACAAGAGTGTCACTCAATGATCCCACCATGAGAAATGTATGAATACTAAGAAAGCCACAAGTACGGGAAACGTATCCCATATTCTGTGCATTGATGCTGTTGAGACACTTAACAAAAGTGCCACTTGTGACACCCTCTCTCATATTGTGTACCCCGGTGTTGTTCTAGGTGTCACTGTATAGGCACAGCGTTTGACCAGTCTCAATGAAAGACCTCTTGTCAACACAGCAATATGTGAACGGGGGAATACCATCCCTAGATTCATAAGTACTTTGCTCAATATTTACTCTTCTTTTTCATGAACTTTGGAACGTGCCAAACCAGAATTGACATGACCGTGCCCACAGAAAATCATATGTTGATGGTTAAATTCCAACTATTAGATCTACACCCTACCTTTATTGCCTTGTGTAGCGGGGCTATTGTCCACTAATTGTTTGGGTATCTTTCCTGATGGCTGCCATGGCTGACCTTTAGTGCTAAATGCCTTCCATTTCCTGCCATTACGGACATTTTTTGTTGTGGTCCAATAACGATCATTGTTTTATTTATTATCCTTCCTATTGTTTTCTGGAACTTACGGAAACAGTCATATTGAGGGTTGGCAGATGCCAGATTCTTGATTGTCACCATTTTGTTCTCTAAATAATTCCATTTCCGTGCAGTGTTTTATCATTAGATGATATGGTGATGTTTTTGAGTTGAGTCTGTTTGTTTGCCTTTTCATTTTGTGTAATTTACCTTGGGCTACCTTGGGCTCTGGAGATAACTCTAGCATGTAGGCGATCCATTCTACAATTTTCACCGCTATTTTGACTTTTACGACCTGTTGCATCTGTTTCGTCTGATAATCAAGACTGGTTATTCTCTGGCATTGCCATTTTATATTTACAATACTTTGAATGTTGAATGGGCAGTTCATGGAAGAAGATGAAATGAAACTTAAAAATATTTGGGTTTTTTTATGTTAAAAAATACTACAACCAGCCCCTTGTGAAAATGATATCCTGATTGCTGAAACAGAAAGCACTGATGTTCTTGAGATCACTAAGGTCCCTTGAGCAAAAAGGCCATTAAAGCTTGAATTCATTTTTCAAGAAATTTTTCAGGAATAGATGCATAAAATTTACTTAGCTAAGAATACATTTGACCATTTCCTGCACAATAGAGGGCCAGCATGCATGTTTTACTGTGCTACACCTGTCAATATATTTTTATGTATGACAAATAATATATGATCAAATAAGATATGATACATATGAGAAGACTATATTTCAGTCCTAATTTTTATGAATGAATTTTATTGCATCTTCCATTAGTTTTTTTCTCTCAGTTCTCAGCTATTGAGTTCCCATTAATCATGTTTAAGTCCTTGTTCTATATACGCCAATTGTGTTTACCTACAAGACTACAACACTCTGGGCAGTATGGTGGTGTGGTGTGTAGAGATAATTTCCTTAACTGTATCTTGATGTCCTGGATTCACATCCCAGATTCATCATGATCTTTGGTTTTTGAAAGTGTTGGAATACTGCTAAAAGTGGCATAAAACCATACTCACTCACTCACGCACCATCCTTCATGTGTTTCACTAAAGTGGCGAGCATGTCATATGTTATCTTGAACTTTCCTCACATTCAGCAAATGGACTGTGATGTAACTGAAATATTGTTGAAAGCAACATTAAAACTCACTCACTCACTCACTCACTCACACACTCACTCACTCACTCACTCACTCACTCACTCACTCACTCACTCACCGTGTTCTTCCTTCTATTCCAGGTGCTGTTTGCCCTGAATCAGACGCTGTTTCAACACGAAGCATATCGGACCACAAAAGGATCTGTTCCGTATACAACGGAGGACCTAATAGACCATTATAATTGTGGAGACCTCAACTCAATCATATTTAACCATGATACGGCGCAGGTCCCGAATCTGGTGAACTCATCTCTCCCGCCAAGTCAGTTAAAGACGGCCAAACGTATTGACCAGTATTTTAGAAGTGAACTTATTGTGAAACGAAATCATAGGATGTCACAGCGAGTCATGACACTTCTTAAAAAGTATCCCAAGAAAAGCTTTTTCTTTGCATTTGGTGCAGGTGAGTGAAATATGTTTCTTTTATCATGATATTTACCATTATCATCCAAAACTGGCTCCCACAGGAGATATGGCTTGGATGAGATCAAGCGATATCTACACTGTAGATATCGCTGCAATGAAATTATATCGCAATGCTTTGCAGACCATTGTGACATCACTGGTTACCATGACGTCACAATCAAATGACATCACTAATGGCTCTGCTACTGAAGCTGTTAGCAGTACTTTTTACACTGAAGACACTGCTAATTACTGTCTACAAAAAAGTTGGAAGAATGATGTTGGATGATAAATAAAATCTCTCTCTCTTGTCTTTTGATATCAAATATATCAACACTCATTGATAAAAGTGGCAAAAATCCTTGGCAAGCCTCGGAATTTTTTCACTTTTATCAACTCGTGTTGATATATTTGATATCAAAAGACACTCGGGTGAGATTCTCTATTTCTACATTTCCAGGAAATGGGTAGAGTTTGTCACGAGTTCGCTCTATCCAAAATGAATGCTACGAAAAGACCTGCTTAAGAGTTTGGAATAACTGAGTTTGTTGTTTAACAGCACAGGGCTCAATGTACCAGCTTTGTAGTGGCACAACACAAACATGACGATACATTACTCTAAAAATATTAAGTAGGCACTGTACAAGCTGAAATGGAGCCATGAAGATCCTGGGTAGAATAGGTCTTCAGCAACCCATGCCTGCCGTAAAAGGCAACTTTGCTTGTCATATAACGGGATCGGATGGTCAGGCTCGCTGACTTGGTTTATGATGCATGTCATCGAATCACAAATGTGTAGATCGATGCTCATCATGTCAATCACTGGATTGTCTGGTCAAGACTTGATTATGTACAGACCGCTGTCATAGAGCTGGAATATTGCCGAGAGCTGTGTTAAACAACAAACAAACAAACAAACAAACAACAAGCTGAAACGTCCATCGACTTTGATTTAAGTATGTACACTGCACATGAACATTGCATGGGTTCATTAAATATAACCATGAAAACATATACGATAGATGTTCGGGAATTCCTTGTAGTTCAAAAGTTATCATGATGCGCAGATGCTATAATTTTGAAGTTTTCACATTAACTAACTGTTAAAGATTTAAACAATCATAAAAAATCTCTACTAAAAGAAGAGTCTGTTGTCCTGTCTGTCCTACTATATGATAAGCATGTGCTTATGAATGACTATTAAATAGTAATGATACCGTTGGTTTGCGAAACAGTAAAGTACTGCCCCCACTGTTGGCACCCGTCACAGTTCGGTGGAAATGTCTAATTCTTTGCATAGCTGGGTAGACTTGTTCAAATTCCTGATCATATCGGTAATGGTCACCGTGTATGTTTAGTTTCTTTACAAATGAACCAAGTCTCTTTAGCACCTTTGCTAAGTACCATTTGTAAACAAAGGTAAGTCGTGAGATAAACTTAATGGTTTAAGCTGCATGGCATGTTTTTGTGGCTAAGTGGGAATTTTAGCACCTATGAGATAAGCAGTAGAGTAAACAAAGTGAAATTGTTTGTATATTCTATGTATTGGTATGTGTTGTGTTTCTAAACAAATCACATGATTGGTATCAGGAATGGTGTCTTATAAGAAAATATAAAGGAGTTCACAGTTGGTTGCGAGGCTGTGTGTTAATCACTTGGGTTTAAAGTTCTTTGAACTCTGTCATGTCATGGCAAGCTGTTTAGTGTGGTAGTAAATCCTTGGACAAACAAACTAGAGGTGTTTGCCACTTGGGTGAAACCGGTACAGGTATGGTGCTGACAAACTTTGGCATATCTTGATTTGAACCCAACATCAATGGATCCTGATACACCCAAGGGACACAACTCTCTTTTGTTTGTTGTTTGTTGGACTTAGCAATATTTCAGCTATATGACGGTGGTCTGTAAATAATCGAATCTGGACCAGACAATCCAGCGATTGACATCATGAGCATTGATCTACGCAACTGGGATGTGATGACATGAATGAAACAAGTCAGCGAGCCTGACCACCCGATCCCGTTAGTCACCTCTTTCGACAAGCATGGGTTGCTGAAGACCGATTCTAACCCGGAATCTTCACAGGACGACACAACTCTAAACAGCTACATGGCCAACTGGACCCCTATTATGTACCAATGTGAGAGTTCGTATTCTTGACACAGAAGCAACAAAAATATCACATCAGGAACAACATCATGTGAATTTAAAAAGGGTGAATATTTTCATATTTGAAATTAGTTGTTCCACATATTGCTGAAACACTCCAGAACAGGAGGAGATGCTATTATCGTAAGCTTTCTGTTAATTATGTTAAATCATCGTTCTGTCATTTTCCATCATGGAGAAAGTTTGTCTTTATTTTCATCACCAATTTTCAAACAAAATAGAAAATTATTTTTATCATTTACGAGTTTCTTCGTTGGTTCACACTGACAAGGGTAGTAGGCTCTTCAGCTGTCTTGAGAAATATTCCTGACGTATGAAAGGACCCTGTATGAAGTAGATACATTCACAGAGAAGATGTGGAGCAAACGAGTCCTAGATGAGCCAGAGATATTCCATCCCCATTGATATTATTGTAACAGTTTGGAGAATGTTTGATCAATACTAGACATAAAATATTTGATCAATAATTGTTATCAGTTATTACATGAGGTATAAAAAACATATTAAGTGCACAATTATTTTCAAATTATTTACAATAAAAAAATTGAAAAAAAATCAAGATTTGAAATTAATGATAATCAGTTGCTAAGTACGTATGATTTAACACTCTAAGCTAAGTGAAATATACATGTCTTGGATGAAAGGCAGTGGAACATCTGTGACTGTGTTGGTATACTTCAACCCACTATATCTATGTGGAAACTATATTTTCCACTCGCAGACAGCAGACATTATTCACATAAATCCCAGACAGACCCAGACTCTACCAGTCAGCTAAACTGACACGATTCTTTGAAATTTGCATTTTTTCTTTCCTGCTAAGGAGAAAGACATGTTTACTCAGATCCAATCAGATGAAATAATTACCATATTACCCTTCGACCTGCTGCATGTCAGCATATAGCTGCATATAAATTTGGACGACTCCATCTTGATGTTTCCTAATGACGAAAAAATCGGCTTAAAGCAGGCCATAGTGAAATATGCCTTATGGTTAAAAGGTGTAAGGCTGTTAGGAGGCTGAACATGGCATTTGAAAAAGGTAGATGAATGTTTATGTCCAATTAATTGTAATTATAAGAAAAATGTCTACGAGGATGCTGACTTTGTTGGTTGAGCCTAGATGGCATTGTTTGAAATTTTGGTACTTTTCAGGATCATGTAGTGTTGAGAATTCTTTGATTCAACACATGGATTTCACAATTGCAGACTTTAGACATATGGAACCGATTGCGATGTTAGTAATGCAGTTTAAACCTTTTTGGTAAAAACATAATACAAAACAAACAAACAAGTGTGGAAAAAGTATGTGATTAGCAGTTTAATTGGGAAAAACACCTGCCATTCTTTATTATGATTTTGGTTAAAACTGTACATTTTCCTGTGGTAAATTGACCGACTTCCCTTTGCTTGTTGTGTAGTAATTCCATGTGTTGTAAGTTGATGTCTGTTTATTTTGTTGGCTAGTTTAGACATGGTAAAAGTATTAAATATGTCGCCATTATCCGAGTCATATTAAGGAACAAACAGGTTTCATTAGTTCGGTCAATATTTTTTCACTGTTTTTGTGTCTTTAAGCTTGAGTAACAAAACAGTAATCCGACAATAACCAAAGACAGGTTTACATGTTGGTTTTGTCTTCTGCTGATTGGCACTGTCTCATTGGTCCAGTGGATAGAGGGGCGGTCGGGTAGCCTAGTGGTTTAAGCGTTTGCTCGCCACGCCGAAGACCCGGGTTCGATTCCCGACATGGGTACAATGTGTGAAGCCCATTTCTGGTGTCCCCTGAAGTGATATTGCTGGAATATTGCTAAAAGCGGCGTAAAACCATCCTCACTCCCTCACTCACTCTAGTGGATGGAGCATCTGCCTGGAGGGTCAGTGGTTCAATTTCCGTCTGTGTCATAAAAAATGACGTTAAAAGATGGTACTTGTTGTTACCCTGCCTGTTACCCTGCATTAAGGGAACAAAACAAGGGCTGGTTGGATCGGAGTCAGTATGCTGTGTCTGGGTATTCATGTCAAACTGCAGCATGGTATCTCACATGTTCAGATCCACTTTCTCATCATCCTTATCCTTGATGTGAGTTTTGTCGGTATGCTCATTAAATTTTTTTTCATGTGTGTGATGTCATGAGCCCCCTGCTCAAGTTTCATCCCTGTCATATTTTGAAAGAAAAAAATCAATTATCCTTCTGGCTATATTTTTTAAGGAAACTTTATGAAAGGGAAGGTAAAAAACCCAGTAACATTGTCTTTATTCCACCAACTGCAAGCATACATATTGGCCACAAAAACATGTGCATATAATATGTTCATCTGCATGACATATAAGACTGGCTCAGTCAACACTGCACACATTGCATCTTTTTAAAAAAAAGTTCTTTAAGAACAATAAATAGATCTGGGTGCTGTTGTACAGAACAACTTTAGCGCTCATCTGTTGTAAGTCTATGTTAAGGTATGGGAATTACGATCACCTTAGCGCTAAGATGGTTTTGTACAACGGCACCCTGAAATATATAAATTGGATTGGTAGGTGACAAAAATAGGTTTGGATCCTTATAAATATTATAATTACCCTGGTATTTGACTTGAAACCATTGACAAAAATTCTGTTTTAGTCACATAAAAATCCCTTGGATTATATTTATTGTCCAAGCGATCTTTACCGTATGCATTTCCAAAAAAGTTGTCATTCTGATATTATTATTTCTTGAGTTTTTGTTTTTAAGGTCATTGGATACATAAAGTAAAATATAATGTATGGCCTAAAGAATTTAAAAGACCAACCTGGAGAAACCAAAGAGGAAGAATTAGTCAAATAAG